TCAACCATCTAGGACCTCTGCCTCTCTCCTCAGGCATTACCCCTGGCAAGGTAAGAATCACTGGAGTCAGCCTGTTTATACTTTAGGTTGGATATGTACACATCTAAGATCCAAGGCAATGAGCCCAGACTTCATTAGCAGTAGCCTCCTCCACAGCCTATCTTCCTTCCTCCCTCTAGCAGCAGTAGCCTGGCTTGTCACAGCCCAGCTGCCCTCCTCTCCTTCCCAATAGTGTCCAAATGAGTTTGGCTGAGCTAGGATTCATAATTCTCAGGCTCTTTGGGGCAATGAATGTGCTCTCTTAGAGTTGGGGACAAAGAAATGGAGCCAATGGCTGCGAGTTATGATTTGAATGTGGACTATCTCCCAAAGGTTCATACCCTGGAAGTTTAGGCTTCCAGTGTGGGGGTGTTGAAATGGTGGAACTTTTAGGGTGTGATACAAGGGAGATAATCAGGTGGTCAAGGCACCAGTCTCAGAAGGAACGCTGACCTCACAGGAGTGGATTAGTTTCAGCAAAAATGAGTTACTGACTTCCATGACTTCACTCTGGGTCTTGCTTCCTTGTTCATACACATGCTCCCCCTGCTCACAGACACTTTCTGCTGTTCCACCATGTATAATGCAGCCAGTGGGTTCCTTGGTAGAAGTTAGTGACATGCTGCTTGAACTTTCTAGTCAGCAGAATTGTGAGCCAGATAAACCTCTTTTCTTTTACATTGCCCAGTGTCTGATAATCTTTTATAGCAACATGAAATGACCAAGACTGTATGATAGTCATTTGGGCCTAAGACTGGGGACAGAAAGCAAGCACCTAACAGTCAGTCCACACTTAGTTCTTTATTTATTCACACTGCATTCTCTTGGAACACCAATACCATTTACACTACCATGAACTGAGTACCTTTCTCACTTAATTCCTATTAGCCCCATTTTACAGCTGGGCAATCTGAGGCTCGAGGAACTAAGAGCCATGGTTAGAATTATTTAGTCAGGCAGGACATGGTGGCACATGCCTTTAATCTCAGCACTTGGGAGGCAGAGGCAGGCAGATCTCCGTGAGTTCAAGGCTAGCCTGGTCTTACATAGTAAGTTCCAGGCCGCTGGGGCTACAGGGAGACCCTGTCTCAAAACAACAAAACCAAACCAAAGAATGGGTTAGAATTAAGGTAATAAAAAGGACAGATAATAGGGGATGGAGAGATGGTTCAGCTGGTTAAGAGCATGGGCTGCTCTTGCAGAGGACCTGGGTTCAATTCCCAGCACCCACATGGTGGCTAAAAACTGTCAGTAACTCCAGTTCCAGGGGATCCGGCACCCTCTTCTGGCCTCTGTGTTGCATGCACATGGTACAGTACACTTACTATGTACATGCAGGAGAAACAGTCATACACATAAAATAATAGAAATTGTAAAAAGATAGGTAATTAGTAAATTCACATACATTAGTATTTTCTATAAAGAGAATTCATAGTTGGAAAAAGATTATAATTATACTAGTTACAATTAGTATAGATGGAATGTCTATTAAATATGCCATTAATATATGTTTTGAGAAGTTTCCTGTGATTATGTTAAACTCTGATAATGCCCTTTCAATCTCTGACCACACAAGATTTCATCCTAACCAGAAATAAGTGCAAAAGGACTTCTCTTTGACTTTGGAAAAGAGTTCAGCCCTGAGTTTTCTCATACCTATATCATGTCCTAAGAAAGTATTCTTTCATTAATATTTTCTTTTAGATTTATTTTTAATTATGTGTCTCTGTGTGGGTATGTGCATGGGTGCCAGAAACATTGGATTCCTTGGAGCTGGAATTACAGGTCCTCTGCAAGAGTAGGACAAACTCTTAGCCTCTGAGCCATCTCTCCAACCCCTCTCACTACTATGCGATCCCTTTGCATCTTCTTTTCTTTCTAAAGACATTTGTTTCAAAAGAAAGCTTCTCTGGGTCTTCTGCTTCCTTAAGAGAACATAAACAGCTGTGTTTCCCTGTAACCAAACATCCTCCTAAAAATTGCACTACAAGACACAGAACTAAGGAGACCCTTAAGGTTTCACTGCCTGCTTTATTTTTTAGCAGCTACTTTCTTACTCGTCTGTTAACCATGGTATCGCTGAAAGACTCAAAGATTGACAGAAATGTTTAATAAAAGAGTTATTTAAGCTGGGCTTCTAGGGACGTGCTTGTAATCCCAGTACTCAGGAGGTAGAACAGGAGGATAGAGTTCAAAGCCACCACTGTCTCTGTGGGGAATTTGAGGTAGTCTGGGCTACATGAGACCTTGTCTTGTTCCCCCAAACCAATCTCCAAAACAGAGCTATCAAACTGGTTTTCCTGGAATCCTTGGGGAATTCAAGGTGATCCTTCTGAGAGTCTGGAGGGGTCGGGGAGTAATGGCTCTGGATGCATGTGATTTCAGGTGGAGGCCAGTCTGATTTTGACTGGGAATGGAGGAAAGGCTGGATTGTAATGAAAAACTGTTTAATAACTACAAAGAATTTGAAAGTCACTCTACATAGTTCCCCTTTGTCCATGGTTACACTTTCCGGTTTCAGTAACTCACGGCCAACTGAGGTCCAAAATTATGCAATAGAAAACTGCAGATATAAACAATTCATAAGTTTTAAAGCACATACAGTTCTGACTAGTGTGATGAAGTCTTGTATGGTCTAGCTCTTTCCTACCCAGGATCTGAATCAACCCCTTGTTGAGTGTATCCATGATCTATATGCTACCTTCCCTTAAGTCGGTTAGCAGCCACCTTGGTTTTTCAGACCAACTATAACAGTATTGCAGTATTTGGATTCAAACAACCTTTATTTTATTTAATCATGGACCCAAAGTACAAGCTAAGTGATGCTGGTAATTTGATAATATATTGTTATAATTGTTCTATTTTATTAATTACTGTACCTACATTGATAGTATCCATATATATATATAGGAGAAAACTACATATAGGGTTTGGTATTATCTGCAGTTTCAGTAATGTACTAGGGATCTTGGAAAATGGGGTGGGGGGAGTACTACTTATAAAATTGAAGCCCCTCCCAGAAGTTTGGGATGGAACTGCCTCTTCAACTGTAAAACAAGGATAACTACCGCCTTACCCAACACCTGGCATTATAGCAAGAAGTAATTATAAAATGATCTTGCAAAGAAAAGGATGGCAACAACACAATGTTTATAGTGATGCAAATGTGCAGGGGTGGCAGTTCCAACTGGCTGAATGCTCCCAAATGCACAAGGCCGAACTTGGCCATAACCAGAGGGACTCTGCTGTGACAGGTTTGCATCAAAATGCATCAGGGTGAGTAAGGGGCAGGTAGATTAGGAACAACTGCTATCAAATATTTATTTTTTGCTTTAAAAACCAACTTCCTCCTCTTTTCTAATGATCTTCTCTCAAAGCCTACTGGCTTGTTGGACAATTAGCCTTTGAGACACCTTGCATACATAAGAAAATTAGGGAGCTGGAGAGATGGCTCAGCGGTTAAGAGCACTGACTGCTTTTGCAGAGGACCTGGGTTTGATTCCCAACACCCACATGGCAGCTAACAACACTCCGGTTCCATGAGATTCAACGCCTTCTTCTGACCTCCTCGGGCAATGCATGACACTGGTGCTCTTACGTGCATATAGGCAATATACTCATACACATAAGATAAAAATAATAAAGTATTTAAAAAAAGAAAATTAGGTAATACCACAATCTGTACTTCTCACCAAATTATTTCCTTTTGAAGCAAAGCATGGATGTACAAGTCTTATCACACCTTTTTTTTTTAACTTTAAAAAAATTTATTATTTTTATTTTATGTGTATGTGTGTATTGCCTGCACGTAGGTAAGTGCACCTGTGTTGTGCAATGCCCGCGGAGGTCAGAAGAGGCTGTCGGATCCCTTGGGACTAGAGTTATGGACAGTTGTTAGCTGCCATGTGGGTGCTGGGATTCAAACCCGGGTCTTCTGCAAGAACAACCAGTGTTCTTAACAGCTGAGCCATCTCTCCAGCCCCTTACCTCATTTTCTAAACTCTATATTTTTGAAAAGCAGGCTCTAGTTTCATTTTTTCCTCTTCCCTTGCCTGATAGCACCGTGTTTATGTAATAACTCCTTGATAAATTTGTGTGTTTTTTTGAGACCGGGTCTCCCTGTAGGGTCAGCAGTTCTGGAGCTCACTATGTAGACCAGGCTGGCCTTGATCTCACAGAGATCCAGGGGCCTCTGCCTCCCAAGTGCGGGGATTAAAGGGCATATGCCACCACATCCGGCTTGATAAATACTTTTGAATGAATGTGGTTAGTTCCCAGTCCAGTTACCTAGAAACTGGTCTAGTGCCCATCAAAACAAGTATTTGCAGGTCTTAAATTGTTTTAATTCAAATGAGCTTTAATTTTGTTTTTTTGTTCTTTTCTTTCTGTTCAGGACTACCAAATTAAACCCCAAACAAGTGGCTCACAAGAGCAGCTTTCTCTTTAGGAGAAATGAAAGAACAAACAGCCTCAACTATGCCAACCTCCCCTTCATCCTGGTAATAGGAGAGTTGTGAAAACAAGTCACAAAAAAAAAGGTGGCAAATGGGCAAGTGTGGTCCAGTGAGTTCCTAAGTTGTGCTAACTCCTCATCTACCCAGGCTTCCCCACTCTGCCCCAGGAATCTTCAACTAATATAAAACTGCAGGCAGCCAGGAAGTTGCCTCCTGGTTGAAGCACTACTCTTCTACTCTTCCAGGGTTTTATTTCCAGCTCACTTTTGCTCGGTAAAAACACATACTGCCTGATAAAGGTCTGCTAGGAAGACTGATGACTGCTATGAGAGCCATAAAAGGAGCTACTGAGCACTATGTGGCAAGCACTGGGCTGAATCCCTTAGGCTGAGGATCTCATTTAAACTGCACAGAGGCCTTCCGAACTTTACATGGTCAGAGGTCGCTCAGCAAGGAAAAGCCCCTTGACCGAGGACTCAGGGTCACCAATGGCCCATGCGCACTTACCTGGGAAGTACAGAATTGAGTGGCCTGGATTTTGCCGGGGATGCTACTTTCGGCTCTGCCCCGTTGCTCCCGCAAGATGCCTGCAGAGCGTCCAGCGCCGGTCCGGGTGGGTTTGGAAGTACTTCCCTTGGGGAAGTCAGAAGGTGCTCTTTTACTTCTTTCTCCCGCGACTTGGCTTTGTGTTCCGCCAGGAGGAGGTCAAATTGCTTTTTCCGGCCTGGGACTGCCCTCCGATGGCTTAGCGAGTGTGTCTAAGAAGAAGAGATGAGAAGCACAGCCTCTTTGATCAGCACATACACCTGCTTCCCCAGGCCCTGCATTTCCGAAATTGCAACCATGGGAATTTAAAGGTGCTTGAAAAAGTCAACTTCAAGGCAACAGCTCCTGTTCTGTGGCTGAGAAGAGGCAGAGACCGCTCGGACGCCAACATGCCCTACGCTCCTGGTGTTAAGAAGCCCAGGCTTCCTCCAATGGCATGAGATGACAGCTTCCGCGCAGAACCCAGGAAAACCTCGGATGAAAGGCACCCACGAGGGAAGGCTAAAGTCAGTCCAGGTGTGGGTGGGAGGCTCCAGTCGGCCCGGGCAAACAGAGCCACCGGGCAGACAGGGCCACAGCCTGGATCTCAAGAGGCACTAGCAGGTCAGGAGGAAATCTGGGGCTTGGGGCTACCCAATGGCGGCCGCCTGGGGTCCGCTGGTCCCCTGGCCACCCCGTGTGGCTGGATCAGAGCGCAGCACCGCATCCTCCCCTCCAGGACTGCCTTTCAGGGCGCTGCCGTCGCCGCCGCCGCCGCCGCTCTTGCATACATTAAAACGTAGCAGGCTTTAGAACCGCCTGTGAGTGCCTATAAATACAATTTACTGTCTGGCCTCCCAAGTAACACGGGAAGCCCAATGTTCCTGTGAACAACAGCAGGTGTAGAGAATATCAGGAATGACTGTTACCGCCCGGCCACCACCCAGTTCAAGTCATCCCTGGGTAGCTTTGCAGATGCCCTAAATAAATCTTTTTTTTTTTTTTTTTTTTTTTTTTTTTCCTTTTTCTTAAAAAGCCAGCCAGCTTGAGGCAGGCACTCTGCTACCGTGGACGGAGAAGAAAGCATTTCCCTTACAAAGAACAGCTGGAGGTCATGTCGAGGCTCCACACCCTGCCGTGTGCAGAGAGTGGCATGCAAACATTTCGACAAAGGCCCCAGCGAGAGCAGGAAGTATTTTTTTATGGAAAGAGAAATACCTTGCAGGTGAGGGATCTTGTGCAAGGTTTCTTTGTCTCGAGATCCAATACTCCACAGTGTTTATTTGGGTCAAATTCTCTCTCTGGTTTAAGAAACAAACAAAAAATATAAGAAAAAAGGAGACTAAATAGGACTTGGCATTAAGACTACATTTTTAAAAAAAATGCACATTTGCACCAACAAGTGAGACATTGTCAGGCAATCTTTTTTTTTTTTTCTAATTTTTTTCCAACCAGCTGCTAAAATTCTTCAAGAACTGCTCAGGGGAAAATGGTGCTCCCCTCCAAAGGGTACAAGGCTCAGGGTGGAGCAGGTGGCAGAAGGAAAGGACCAGGCTATTTGCAAAGCTGTATTTTACTTAAAATGGTCCTACAGGTCCTTGGCACTTTGGGCACAGTGGCTGCAGAGCAGGGACTGCCACCTGAGACTTAAGGGCCCTTCTTTCCAGGGCTGCCCAGATATCCACGTGGGTCCCCACCTCTGCCTTCCTCCTAGTGTAGCCATTTAAGTGAGAGCTTGTTCTTTGATATGTCAATGCAGCCTCTCTTATGCTCTACAAATCCCTAGGTGAAGGCTTTCCACACAGTCTTGTACATGAGTAAAGTCTTTTCCCTGAACTAGGAGCATTCTGGTAGTGCTATAGGCAGGGGCTAGGAAAAAGCATGCTGTGTACCTGCCTCTGTGGGGCTGAACAGGAAGTGCATGAAGGGCAGGCCTGTTAATCTCACAGCTTGGTGTACAAGTAGCCCTGGCCCCCACAGTCCACAGGAGGATAAGACAGGGCACACTGGTCCCAGGGATGAAGGATGACTGTTCAGAGAGGGAGAGTTTTCCCTACGTCCTCCTTTCTGTCTAGACTGTTGATGGCTCCTGTGGAAGTTACAGCTAAGGAAGCTGTTCTTTTGATGCTTCTTATGATCTTTCAGTTCTCTGGGGATTACAAAACACTCTTCATACTTGCAAAATGTGGGGATGTGAGGCAACCTTTCAAGGACCCCTTAGGCTTTAGGAAGGCACCAGCAAACACCAAGTTCTGTAGAACAGGGATGCCCCAGCTCTTAAGGGTGTGAAGGGAGATAAGTAGCAGTGCTGCTCTTGGTGGCATGGGGAGGGGTGTTGGGGAGGAGTTGGGTCTTCAGGAACAGGAAGTGTCTGTGAGGGCCTTAAACTGAATAGAGATCCCTAGCTGGAAACTGTCTGTAGTTGTTGGCGTAAACTTGGAGCACAATAAATGAATGTTTGTTTTTCAAAAGTTTGGGGGTCAGGAGGATGTTGCAACAGTGGCTAAGATGCTGTGTACAAGCAAACCATTCTGCCCTCAGGCTATGGAAATGCCTCCTTCCTTTATGTGCTTATCCCCCCCACCCCAATTTTCAAAAGAGAAAACTGCTAAGCCCAGGGAGCAGTGAGTGGGTGCCAGGTGCCAGGATGCCTGCTATGGAGGCCTTCCCATTGGGCCTTTTAGAGTCAGGTCTGTGCCCAGACTCACACCAGCACCTCATGCTGAGGGGAGGTTTTGGCTAGGGATAGGAGCTGGCTGCCGAATGAATGTATGAAAGAGCTAGAAACAAGCAAAAGATCCTTTGAGACAAGACAACCCACAAAACATCAAAACAACAAACTGTAAAAATCCCCAGACCAGGGCACAGGCTAGAAGCTAAGGTAGTATTACTGTTGCTATAAGGAACTCAGCTTCTGGACGCTGGGCACAGCACACCCTCCCATGTGGCCACCTACCTCTGCCTAGTGAAACAACACATTCCATTAAGGAAGAGAGCTAGCAGTGGGAAGCTCAGCCCACAAAATGAAATCCCACCATGCTCACGGAGGGCACCAGGCTCTCCCTTAAGGGTGGATGGATAGAAAATGGAGAGGGGTGCAGGACACCTATTTCATTTGATAGTTTTGGGTGGACCTGAGGTACTTTTAAAACACAATTTAAAAATACAGATGTAGAAAATCCAGATAAAAGTGTCCTTGGGTGCTTAAAAACCATGCTCACATGAGAAGATGGTGTCTTTCTCAAGGGTGGCTTTCTCTGTATTTTGTTTTTCTTGGCCACCAATAAAGAAAGCATATGATATATGCAGAAGTTATGAAGTGCATAGCTTTTCCTGGTCTTTTGGAGACATGAGAACAGCCAGCTTTAGTTCTACAACAGATCCCAAACAAACATCATCCTCTAAAGCCACAGTCATCACCTCAGAGTGACCACGTGTCTGTACAGACCACTGAAGAGTGACCCGAGAGACCTCCCAACACCCAATCTGTTGTGCTGGCCTGACAGATCCTGATGGGAGTCCAGTCTGACTATGGGGAAAAATAGCTGGAGCCCTAATGCAGAATCCACTTGGAAACCCATGAGGACAAAGGGCATAGGTTATGTCTCCCTGTGCAGTACAGTCACTAATGGGACTGTCCCAGCATGCCATGGGCTGTGAGATATCCTGTGGATTGTCCAACTTCACAGCGGTGAAGCTTCTGAGGGGGCCATGTGACATTCCATGGGTCAGTATGGCTCTGCAGAAAGCCATTAGCTAATAAGACCTATAGAGTCCATGACCGTTGGTTGGTTCAGGGCCTCCTGCCTCCTAGGCTGCTCAGGATGCTTTGCTTGACCAGGGACTTTATCTGCCTTGGGGATAAGAGAATCAGTTTTCTCTTGCACTTTTAGGGCAGATCCTGTTTGCAGATAAACTCCATGTCCCCTCCTAAAATGAAACAGCTGCTTAATTATATGCATACATCACTGGTTACGGTGGGACTCAGATTTAGACTTATCACATGTCAGACTCTAATGACAGTGGCACATACCTGAAAGTCTCCGGTAAGGCTTGTTGCTGTTTTTGGTGCCATTTTGGTGTTTCTTGTCTATGGTAGCTGACAGAATCCCTTTGCCATTTAAGATCTTCTCTGGTGAAGGTGGCACTGACTTGGATATCAAGGTGGGCTTAATTAAAGGTGGGGTGGAGACAGCAGAGGAGGAGGAGGAAGAGGAGGAGGAGGAGGAAGCTGCAGTAGTGGTTGTAGAGTTCATTTTGACATTGGCACCATCTGCCTTCACTAGGTTAGGAATTTTCTCTAAACTGACTACAGGAACTGGAACGCTGAAAAAAAAGGAACAAACATGTATGATTGCCTTCTTTGATACATCTGGTCTGCTGAGGAGCTACACCCGCTTATCATTACCAGAACACTTCCTTATCACTTATTTATACTCCTATAAGTGAGCAGCATGATACCCGTTTTGATGGGAGGGAGATTTGTGTTGTAGAAAGGACCAACAGGGGATGCGAGGCTGGCACATTGCCCAAGAGGGATAAGAGCTGACTGATTACCTCCCAGGCTGACTGTCCCCATGGATCCTCTGATTTCTCCCCTTCTCAGACCCTATACATGGTTGTCTTTGACACAGCACCTTGGGCAGAACAAGGCCCCCACTGTGAAGCCTAGGAAGACAAGCTGTCTGTGCCCTGTAGACAGCAAGCCACTGCAGAATTGGGCCCCCTCCCCACTCTTCTGCTCATAAGTCTCCCACCCCAGCCCAAACGGGCCTGACATCTGCTTAGCTCCCGAGAGCTGACAGGCTCACACCACACGGAGCATGGCTGCAGGCCAGCGTGGGGTGCTTCATGCTGTCAGAGGGCTTCTGGATCACACTCACATCCCAAGATGGGCTCAAATTGAGTGAGCCGCCATGTACCATTATCCAATATTCCATTTTAGGCAGCTAGTTATGTAAATAGGCAATTCTCCAGGCTGGCAGGTGAGAGGATGAATTTTAAGAAGGCAAGAGCACAAAGGTGTGCATTCACTCTTCAGAATCTGTCACCTTCGCCCCACTCCCCTGCTATTTCTCCTGTGACGGATGTGCATTTGATTTCTGTGGCTCTTTAATGTGGGAGGACCCTGTGTCTGGGGGGCTGTGGGGGACTGCGTCTCAGGGTCTTGAAAGATGAGATGAATAAGTTTTGCTTTGGTCTCTGAACCAGATTCTCTTTCCTCCTGGCAGGAGGGTAGATTGCTAACACTTCGGTTCCCCAATCATTTTTGAGCTGAGAGTGGAGCTGGCTTAGCTGTTTGAATGCCAAATGATGGAGAATATGGCTCTTACATGCCTGCAGACAATGTAGGGCATGAAAGAGAGGTTGTTTTTGGCAGGGAGGAATCCTATCTGTCCACAAGGCTGGTTGGCTCTCCCATCTCTAAGACATATTCACAGATCATTTCTTTGAACGACTTGCTCATGAAATTATTTTAGCAACTCTGCATTACCTGCCACCCATTGTGACTTTGAAACAGGATCATAGATGTTAGTTACAGGCCTTTGCCAGTGGGCACACAGTGGTAGAACAGATTAGGGCCAGGCATTTTAGACTTTCCCCCTTGGGCCACATGCCTTCTTGGTCTGGGGAAATGTAGTATGGGAATTCAAGTTCATAGGAAAGGAATTGAAATAATGGTTTTTAGTAATGCATGGTGTCCCTGCCAGGTCTGTCCTGGATCAGTGTCTCAGTCACTGAGACAGGGCTGACCTGCTGTTCTTGTCTATTGAGTGGTGATTCTCTAAGCCCTCACATGCTGCTTGCTGAACATCAACCCCAGAGACTTTCTGGGGTGTGAATGTGCTAAGAAACCATACAGACACTCCCTGGTGAAATTAGTGTCCACATTTGGGATGATTTAAATGTTTCCCTAACATTCACGTATTAGAAACTTAAATCCCTAGGTTCTTATGTTCATGGTATTTGGAAGTGGGGGGTCTTGAGAAATAATTATGGTTAGATGAAGTCATGGGGGTGAGAATCCATGATGGGATTAGTGGCTTTATAATAAGAGAAAGAGATGTGAGCAATCAAGTTTCCTGGTCCTCACCATGTAATTCTCTCTGCCATGTTGTACCACAGCAAGAAGATGTTGACAACTTGATATTGGACCTTTTAACTTCCCATTGTATGATACATTTTTCTTTTCATTATAAATCACCCAGTTTGTGGTATTTTGTCATAGCAGCAGAAAACAAACCATTCTTTTTTAAAAACATATTTAATTTATTATTTTAAAGTGTATTGCCTGCATGTATGTAAGTGTACCTGTGTCGTGCAGTGCCTGCAGAGGCCAGAAGAGAGTGTTGGATCCCCTGGAACTGGAGTTACGGATGGTTGTTAGCCACCATGTGGGTGCTGGGAACTGAACCTGAGTCCTCTGCAAGAGCAGCCAGTGCTCTTAACAGCTGAGCAATGGCTCCAGCCCCGATATTTGGACATTCTTATTCATGGAAGTATTATTTGTGACAGCTAGGGGGCGGGAGCAAATCATGTTAATAGTTCACTATTAACATGTGAATGTGTAATATCCAGCTTTACAAAGGAAGGAAATTCTGACATGGATGGACCTTGAGGACAGTATGGTGGTAAAATAAACCAGTGCCAAAAAGACAAACACAGTGTGATCCCACTTTTAGGAGGCACCCATAGTAGTCACATGTATGAAGACAGAAAGCAGAACAATGGTTGCCAAGGGTTGGGGGAGGAGACTGCATATAGAATTTTAGTTTTTCAAGATGAAAAGAACTCTGAAAATTAGTTGCATAACAATGTGACTGTACTTAACACGACTGTACATTAGAAATGGCTAAGATGGTAACTATGTTACATGCATTTTACCATCATTTTTAAAAAGCACCAAGTAATAACCCCACGAATTACAAAACTCATGCAACCTAAATTACACCTTAGTAAATATACACACTCACACACAGATATAACATGTCATTCACGAAAGGAAATGAGGACTTTCAAGTTGTAGATTTGATTCTTGTTGAAGAGCAGGGATGAGTACGCAGAAGGCATCCAGTTTCTGTGAAAAGTGTCCTGTCTGTATGTTGAGGACTTATGACCTTAGCAGACAAAGGTATGCTGCCTGGGATGGCATAATCCAGAATAATTGTACAAATTGCCCCATTTTGCCCATGCTCACGGTGCAGTCTGTCTTTCTCTTTCAAAGTCAATGTTTGGTATCAAATGTACTCTGCAAGGCAGCCACAGCAACACAGGTGTGCAAGGCCCACACTGCAGCCAACATGCCAGCTGAGTCATCTTACGGCTGACGCTTCTTCCTGACTGTATAACTGTATTTGCACCAGGCCACCTACTGATCTAGTATTTTATCCCTTAATGTGAAATTTCCTTCACTAACCAGTTTGGTCCATTATTTTCTGTACTGTCAGTGCTTTCAGAACCCCAGCTGGACTTTAGTCCCAGTGCCCTCAGGCAGGATGTAGAATTGGAGTCCATAGGAAGTGGGAGAGAAAGACTGATGGGCAGTCCTCTGGACTGAAGAATGGCAAAAGCTGGGGGAAAAAAAAAACTGATTGAGAACATTTCAAAGGATTCTAAAAGGCTGCATGAGTCAGAACCGAGCTGGCCACAGAGCAAACAGCCTAGATGCCAGGTGAGCAGCCCCATGTCAACAGAAGGAAGAGAAAGGAGCGAATCCTTTCAGTGGGAATTCTAAGGGTCATGAGCAAAGGGGATTTCCTGTAGGGAGGCCGGCCTGGGAGCTGTCCCTGGTACTGTTTCTCTGGCAAAACTTTGGGCTTCTCTCAGGTAACCTGTCTTTGGCCTGGGGCTCAGAAGGGGAGGGAAGAGAAGGCAGAGAAGCAGGCAATTTCATGGCAGTGGGACAGTGGGAAGGATCAGAAATATCCCCCACTGGTGGGGGGGGAGAGAGAGAGAGAGAGAGAGAGAGAGAGAGAGAGAGAGAGAGAGAGACAGAGACAGAGAGACAGAGAGACAGAGAGAGAGAGAGAACACCATGCCATCCCCACTCCACTCCCAGTACAGATTCCTTTCTTGATTCATATTGCCCAAGACCTTAAAGTGATGAACAAAGATGCTGCCACACAATATGGACAGTTGGCACCAGACATTCCAGCTCTTTTTGAGGACAAAAATCTGATTGATAAAAGAGCCTGTTGATAGTCCCACCTCCCACCCTTGCGTGCAGCTGCTTGCACCTGTCTACTCAGGAGTGGGGAGTGCAGCCACAGGAAACCACCGTCTTAGAACTGCCTTCTGTTTGCCCCTATTTCCCTTCTTTTTCAATCCCCTCTCTCCTTGCCATCTTCTTCAGCTAGTGATGTGTCAGCCTGGGGCAGGTGAGGGCTCCTTCCAGATGGCAGTGAACCCTGAATGACACCTTTATTTATTTATTTTTTTCCATTTTAAAAGAAGCCAAGTATTCTGACCCTACTTCCACAGGTCTGGCATCTCCCATTGTTTCTGCCTCTCATCACAGCAACTAAAACACCTCCAAGTGTGGTGAGGAGCTGGGAGGAGGAGGTTAGGGCAGCACCAAGAACACTGACTAAGCAAGGCATTGCTCTGTGTTGGAGGTGATAAACAAGCCTGGGAGTGTAGCCAAAAGCCCCCCAGAGTCCCTTCCCCTTCTCCAAGGATGCCTATACATACTTCCCCATCTCAATTCACTATCAAGTCACTCTGTCCTCTCTTTGAGGTGCTGTATTTGAAAAGGAAAGAGGAGCCCCCCCGCCCCCCAGCCCCTGCTGTTTTCAAAATGTCTGTTTTGTGGGCTTGGCACGAACTGTTTCAGGGAGCCCAGGGCTGCAGGGATCCAGCTCTGTCTAGTACGCTGGGAGCGCTTATTGCCTCGTTATCTCTGTAATTCCTCTCAGTCCTGGGAAGGGATCCCAGTGTGGAGATGGGCCCTCCCTCACCCCTGGCACCACGGGGAGGTGTCTACCTTCTGTTTCTTTTGTGCTGCTTTGGCTCCCCATGTCTTCTTCCTGTGTGCTTGGCCTGTCTGAATTGATCTTTCTAGACCAAGGCAGGTCTTCTGGCTTTAAGAAAAATGGTTCTCTTGGCATCAAGCAGATTCCCCTCCCTGCCCAGTGATGTCTGCAAAAGAGCAGAGGTGGAGAATCATGACGGTGTCATTGTGAGAGCCACCACCACGGGGCTGCAGGGCCAGCTGCCCCCCTGCCAGCCACACTCTCCTGGTGATCATGATTTATTCTTCTATCATCAACAGATATGCCTTAAGAGGATGGTTCAGAAAGTCTTTAGGTTTGCAGAAATTATTGCCA